GCTAGTTCGGGCCGATCGCCAAAGACTTTGCTCACCACGTCTTCGACCGAGGCGCCGAAGAAGTCGCAGGTGTACTCGTCCCACCAATCCCCAAAGGTCTCGGTGCCCAAGGATTCCGGGACGATCGGCCGAGGACGGAACTTCTTACACCGATCTTGGAATTCTTGCTCCATCGACCGGCATTCCCTCTCGGAAGAACCAGAAAGACGCCCCCGGCTCAAGAGGGAACGGGAGGTGAGCAAGGGAACGGGGCAACCTTGGAGGTAGCTGAGTTGCCGGGCGACAAAGTGGGGGTGGTAGACCTCCCAGCTGGCTCGGCGGGCGTCGCAACCAAGGGGAAGGTCGCGAGCCAGTACGATTGACCCCCATGATTGACGGAGGCCTGCATCCTCGGCCTCGGCCCAGGCTGCCGTCGGGAGCCCAATCGAAGCAGGGTACTCCTGGCGCCGGCACACCAGGAACTCGTCGTCCGAAAGGACGTCGAGACTGAAAAAGTGCTTAAGGACCTCGTCAGCCCGGTGAGGAGGTGCCGGTCGGGAGGCCAGTTGGGGGCCGAGAGCGGCCGAGCGCTGGAAAGCGGGGATCTCTGGCCGAAGAGTGGAAAAATAGATCTGCAGCCAGAGTTGGAAGACCCAGAGGGGCCCGTTCTGGTGCGGGTCGATTTTGTTGATGGTCGTCTCGGCCAAGCAACGGAAAAGGTTGGCAAGAATAGCCGGGCTGAACGCCAAAGAGTGACCACTAGCCAGGGCCTGGGCCACCGGCATATTCTCGACCAAGCACTTGTTCGACCTGGTACAACAAATAAATTTGTTGTACCAGTAGAAGAGGAAGGCTTCATGTTCCCCCTTCCTGAGATTCTCTTCCCCCCGGCCGGCGAAATGGAGGATGAGGGTGTTGTAATTGAAGAAGTTTTTGTGAAGCTTGTGAACTTCTTCTCTCGAGGGCTCCCGATCGCCTCTGCTGAGCGTTTCGACGGGCCGCTCGTCGAAAAGCGCCTTCAGGTCGAGAGAGGAGGGGCATCCTGAAAGAGCGGCATCAATTGGGAGGCCGGATGGAGATGTCCCAAGGATAGCCGAGACGTCGAGCACTGTGGGGCCTAGGGGGCCAAATGGAAGGATCATAGTGTTGGTAGCCGAGCACCACAGGGTCAAGGCCGCCATGAGCAGCTCTTTGTCCATGGTGATCTCCATGGTCGAGAGCATGATGGCATCATAGATACCAAGAGCTTTCCACTCCTCGCCGAAGAATGATCTCATTCGGTCCACCCAGGCGGCCCAAGCTGTGGTGGTCGAGGGCCAGGCTCCTTGAGGCCGAGCCAATGACCATTTTGACCAGTCTAACCCTTGAAGCAGGGGTGTGAGGCACTGCTCCTTGAGAAGGTCGGTGATGCACGACGGCACTGCATCTTTGAAAATTGGGCCCAGAATTTGATGAGAAGCGGCCATGTCATCCTCGAAGCGTACCGTTTTGATTGTGTTCCGGTCGATAAAGTCCTTGCATTTGTTGATCTCCTCGGAAAGCTTCGAAATGAAGGAGGCCATTTGTGGAAAAGAGAGGTGTGTTGGAAGGAAATATTGCAGGGAGAAGAACTGGAGAAAATATTGCAGAAGGACTAGAAGTTTTGGTTTGAACAAGCAAGGGAGTTTGGAATATCTGAAGGCGTAAGAAGCGAATAGATTGAAATGTGGGTATTTATAGGCTTTTCAGATAGAAAATCAAACGCCTGAATTTTGAAAGACACTGGAATTTGAAAAGCGTGGTTCCAAATTGGGGGGAAAGTTAACCGGGAAAGTCTGCAATCATTTCGGATATTTCGGGAACCTGCGAAAATGGAATCGAGGAGTCGAAAATCCAGGACGCACGATTGCGTGCGGCGACAAGTTCAATGTATTTAATGAGGATAAGACGGTTCAATTAGTGCACGGTTTCGAGGCCCATGATTGAAGCTTTTGAAAGACGGAGAATTGACGCGTGGCCATGCGTTGGGGGCAACGAGGAAGATGCAATCATGTCTCATAAATATGCAGGAATAATGGTCATTAATGAAGTAAGGTCCAGAAAAGCAATAAATGTTTTCGCTTCTTCAAGGCCGAGAGCCGACTAAGAGTGACAGTCGGCGACCTCAGAAGCGAGGGGGCAATGTTTGGGCCCAAAATATTGGGATTGGGCCGAGCAGCAGGATGTGCTCGGCCCAAGGTAATAACACATGCTATGGGCCAAGTAATGAGACTCGGACCAGCTGGCAGGGTCGGCCAGATCCGATCTTAAGTAGTCCAGATAAACGAGGAAAGGTCGAGGAAATCCTGATGCAACCAGGATTCTCGACCGGCAAGGGATAGAACCTCAAAAGTAGGAGAATTCAGAATCCCAATAAGACTGGGATTGTTTGAGTTAAAGGTAAGATGGGACAAGGACTCCCAATCCAAATCAGAATGGGAATCAAGGAACGAGGTGCTATAAATACAAGAAATTACGCAATAGAAATCTCCTCCACAATCAGCACACAATTGCCCTGCGCAAATTCTCTCAAACACCTTGAGATTTTTCCTTTTCTTTTCCCGCCGACACACCTTCAGTTTGGATAAACAGCACTGTGGAAGCAACCGGTGAGCACCTTCAGTTTGGATAAACAGCACTGCTGCCGCAGAATCAGCCGACCAAGACACACCTTCAGTTTGGATAAACAGCACTGCGTCGAGGTCGACCGATTATCTATCTAAGTCTTGGCCGAGGAAGGTTTTCGAACCTTTGTTGGTAGAGGTCATCTTACTTAGCCGTTTCGGCATAGTTGGGTGTTACGAATTACCTTGCTCGGCGCATTGGAGGCTGAGTGAGTTTATGATTGGATACTCACAAGTAAGTTTCAGGGTTCGGCATTCCGACGGCCGAACTACGTTTACCATTAAGACATACATCACATTCGAGTACCTGTGCCCGTATAGTTTGGTCTCAATTCGGCGTGCTTATACTCTTACGAATATAATCACAGTGGCCGAATCAGGCTTCGACGAGTTGTGAACTCCGTAGAATTAGTAGCCTTGTCTTCAGGCTATAGAATCCAGAGACCGAGAGCGTTCCTTACTCGGTCGTAATCGCAAGATACAGAAGTCAACAGCGCGCTCAACGCGACCGCATCAAATTTTACTCCTCGGCCGAGCTCGGCCGACGAGTTGGCACGCCCTGCATTCAACCGAAGGACATTAGTTAGCTCATTAGTTATTCGGCCTGCGCGCCACGTAGGTTCTGTAATTTTTGTAGTCAACAATAGGACACCCTTTTGTTTCACAAACATGTTTTAACTTCACAACTGCATGCAACATGCTAATTGTTTACATAACAAATGTCTTTTTCCTATTGCTACTGGGAAATGCTTATTAATATGTTAAATTGCAAATTGTACATTTTTTCTTAAAAACCAAACCAAAACAATTTGAAGCCGCACTGAACCAAACCAAATGGTTTGATTTTATTTCGGTTTTGGCTTCAAAACCGCACCGAACCAAACAGCAAAAAAATTCGATTTCGGTTTCACTCCAAACTGCACTGAACCAAACCGTGTCCACCCCTCACATGAGTTTTCTTGTATTCATCACTTCGGTTAGAAACACTTCAATTTTTGTACTCCCACTTATTTTCATTAACTTCAATTAAGACTAACTTCGATAACTATCATTCATGATATTTGAATTTGAAACTCTTCTAACAAAATAGAGATTAAGTGCTAGTAAAAATACTTTTAAATAATTAAAAACATTTTAAGATAAAATGTTTTTGGAACCAATCACTTCAAGTGTTTTTGAAGTCCAATAACATTTTCTCTAAAAACGTTTCAGTTATTTAAGAGTGAAACTATCCACAAACCCCTTTATCTCTCACACACCCTATTAATTTCTATCATTTGGTCTTCAACAAAGCACTTACCAAACAAGCTTTTAAATTCAAAACTTCTTTTGACAACGTAAAGATTTAGTTTCACTGGAACAAATTCATTCAATAAATTATGAGAGTAAGTGGTGCAATAGTTCTACAGCTGATGGATCTCCATCCCTCAATTAACTCAAAATTAGAAATGGAACTAGCGTAGGATGTATGCAGCAGTAGCCCTGGGAATGTGAAAGAAACAATAGCACCAGCGCATAAGGAGCATTGCATGTAACAAAACAGCCAGTGCGGAGAGGCAGAGGGCTCCACTCTTCTTTGGCCCCCACCTTGTATTATTATTGTAATTTTTAGCAATAGTTCGTTAATTTTAACTTAATTGGAGTCTTGATCTCTCAACTAAAAATATGTGATTATTAGTCCATTAACTCGTTAAAGTGTGCAATTTCCGTCAACTTTGTTAGAACTTCCGTCAAAATAAGTTATGGTGGAAGGACGATAGTTGCAATTGAGTTAAAGTTTGAAGACCATTTCTTATACTACCATTACTCTAGTTGGGTTAAAACTGAAGGAACATTGCCACAATTTTCTCATTTTGGTTTTCAATATTTGCTCATTAATTCAGCCTCATACTCATTTTGACGAAAATCCTGACAAAATTAACAAAAAGAATCATAATAGTTTGTTTTGATGAGTTAAAGGTACCGTTTGGTACGTGGGACGGGACGAAACAGAGTGAGACAAGACGTTCCATCCCACATTTTGGTACGCCCAAAACGAGTGGAACGAGTTATTCCACGGGACGAGTTTTGGATGAATTTTCGTTCCACCTCACCCCCTGGAACGACTCGTTCCACATCCGTGGAACACAAAATTATAACCTCTCCGTATCCTTCTTCTTCCTCCTTGTTTCCATCCGAGGGCATCTTTGCTCCCGCTCCGTTCCGTTCCGTCATGTTCCTGTCCTGTCCCGTCCCATTCCGTTCCGTCCCGTTCCGTCTGCATACCAAACGGTACCAAAAGCAATGGACCACTATTGTCCAACCATGAGATAAGAGGGACACCTGTGTCGCACTCGCACGGTTGCACTACCAACAATGCAAAACTAGCGTCCCCAGAACACCTTTGACCCAATATTCTAATTATTTCATTCTTTCCATACGACCAAACTTTCCATTTGGAGTAGCGCGCGCACAATTATACACACACAGATAGATACAGTCTTTATCTTTACATGACCATCCTCACAGACAACCGCAGACAGATTGAGAGAGAAAATCCTGAGAAAATCAGGGTGTTTGGTTGCTGAGAAAATTTGAATCCGGGTGGGTGGGATAGACCTGCCTTTTCAGGATCTGTAAAGGTTCTGAAGGGTGGGGACCTCATCCGTCATCCCTCATTCTTCGTCCTCCGTTTGTCTGCTGCAGTCCCAACACCGTTTATGAACACAATACCCTCGATTTCGATACAGGTATCGAATTTTGTTCCTTTCCGCCCTTTTTTCGCTCCCCTTTATTGTCGTTAGGGTTTCCATTTTGTGGGCTCTTATAAGTTTGCATATTTCCATATCTCCGCTTTGTAATTCCGGAAATGTCTGGTCTTTGTTTTGAATTTTGAGGTTTTGGGTTCTAATCCTGTTTGATAGGAAAATAAGAGAATTTTCTGGGAAAATTTTGCACCAGCTAATAGAATTAGTTATAAGGGTGTGCTGATAGATACTCATTTTTCATTTGATACATACATACACATATATACATATTTTTATTTTTCTGAACTCTTTTGAAAGATGCCAACTTTGGATATTGTTGATTTTGTTGTTTGCAGCAGTGTTGGAGAATAGGAATAAGGTGTATGGATCTTACTCTGAAATTCTCTATCCTGCTGTTGCTTCTCGGATTCGGTATGTATGAATCGAACACAACTTATGTCTCTTATGCTTGCTTTTAATTGTTCTTATCATTTCGTAATTTATAGTCTTCAAGTTAGCACTTTTGGTCTTGGTAATATTGTACACTAAATATATGTTCAGGGCGGTTTAGGTGGGATTGTCTGGAGTGAACCTTATGCAATTTGAACCCATTTGAGTAACAAACCAAATGGGGACCGTGCTGTTTTGAATAAATTGTTTTTGGTTACTTTCTTTCTGTTTTCTTTTGGTTCGTTTCGTTGCAATTACTTGCCTAGTTATATTGGTCAGGATGCTATTCTTGGGGTTCTTATAACTCGTCCACACCTTCTGTATCAGCAAATGCTTCGCCTTTTAGGAATGATTTTGGTCATTGTGAAAGACTTGTCAAAAAATGGGCTTCTTCTTCACTTGAACAAGAAGTTAAAGAAGACAAACACACACTGGGGGATTTGCTGTTTTTTCTTCATGTCCCCAGAACAGGAGGGCGTACTTATTTCCACTGGTACTTCCACATAGGTCCAACTTTTAAGCTAGATTGACACCCATAATTTTGACAACTGTATTAATGCATGGTTCTGGCTATAAATACACTTGCAGATTCTTGAGAAAGTTGTACTACAGCTCTCTGGAATGCCCTCGATCTTATGATAAGCTGCGATTTGATCCTAGGTAACATCTTGAGTTCTATTTGTTAACTTTTGTTCTTGACATTTTCAATTCAGTGAATTCTCAATCCTTTAGCATCACTTAAGTTCTAAGTTCAAATAATTTTGTCAACTAAGAATTAGTAAACTCAAGTATATACGATTTTATTTTTGAGCATTGAAATGTTACAAGTGTGTGATTGATTTACAGTTGAGATGTCTGTAGGCTTCAGTGGTCTGTAGAATTGTGTTGAGAAAGTTTTGCAGGAAGGCTGTTTTTATTTGGAAAATAAACTTGACAGATACAGTAGAATTTGGTAGCTCCATTTCTTGGAGAGGGGATAGGTTTATGATTTATCATTTCAGCCATCTTTTTCTATGTTGACTGTGTTATTCTACTTGTTGAGTCATAAGTTGGAGAAAAATACAAATAAAAGAAGAAAAATCACAAGGTTATCATATGTGCTTCTACTAGGTTTGCATCTTAAAAAGTAAAACTAAGCCTGAGGTCAGCTACTAAGTTGGATGCTGACAGAACTATAATATTCTGTCACCCTTGTATTAACCCTTTCCTTTCCTAATTTTGAATATATTTGCATTTTTAATAGATGTTAATTCTGTACCCTTTGCAGAAAGCGACATTGCAGGTTGTTGGTTACTCATGATGACTATAGCATGATGTCTAAACTTCCCAGGGAGAGAACATCAGTTGTGACAATACTTAGGGATCCCGTTGACCGTGTTTTTAGTACTTACGAATTTTCAGTAGAGGTAGCTGCTAGGTTTTTGGTACATCCTAATTTAACTTCTGCAACACAAATGGCAAGACGTATACGTTCAAAGACTAAAGGAGTAAGCACGCTGGATATCTGGCCATGGAAATATTTGGTTCCGTGGATGAGGGAAGACCTTTTTGCTCGGGTATGTTATTTTGGTTATGTACTGCTTGGACGAGTTGACCTTTTTGGTTATGCAGCTCTCATGCACCTTTGGGATATTTCTGCTGAAGTGCAGTATTTCTTCTTCGCATATTATTTGTAATGTACTGACTTTTCTGGACAGAGAGATGGTCAAGAGCATAGACGCTCAGGTGATGTTCAGAGCAGTGACCCGTACAACATGGAGGAAGTTGTGATGCCATTACACGAGTACATCAAGGACCCTATAGCTCAAGAAATTGTTCACAACGGAGAAACATTCCAGGTTGTTTATCCTCCGATAGTTTTGTATAACATCATGGAAATCTTTAGTGCTTATTTTTAGTTTGCTCCATCCATGACTTATGAAAATGCTAGAAACCTTTTGCTTAGAGTCTTAGATACTAAATAGTTGCTTATTTTTCTTAATAATGAGATTCCTCCGTTTGTTTGATTTTTCTTCTATGCGGACCCCCTAGTGGCTATAAAATGATGAGTTTATGAGATTTCGTTATGTTGAAGCATCACTACGCACACATCTGCATATAATACTTTAATTTATTATATGGTTGACTTTCTAGTTCAAAAGGTTGCAGGATTGACAAACAACTCCTATCTATCAGAATCACATGAAGTGCGCCATTGCGTACAGAGGTATAAACATCTTGGTGAACATGTCCTGGAAGTTGCAAAGGTAATTAAAATGAAGTTTGAAAATTTTCCATGGTATTTTCAATTTTGTTATAAATGTTGTTACTTTCATAATCCATTTTCCCGTGATTGTAATCACTGTAGCGATTTGTAAATTTTTCAGAAGAGGTTGGATGATATGTTATATGTTGGTCTCACTGAGGAGCACAGAGAATCTGCAACCATGTTTGCAAATGTAGTTGGCGCCCAGGTGATTTCACAGCTAGGAGGATCAAATTCTAGCGAGGAGAGTGCTGCTAACAGCAATTCCGGTCAGTGTGGCATCTACTTAAAATTTCTGTTATTTAACCTTGTTCAGGTGTAGTACTCTAAAAAAATATGGAGTTGTACTATTTGTTCAGCGTTAAGAGCACAACGAAGTTCAGAACATTGAGTTCAACTTCGAACTGTGTAATGCCTCTAGCTGAGTATTTTAGGATTACCAAATTATTTGCATAGTACTTTGGTTAACATGTTGATTTTTTATAATTGCCATATAGGATTGATTTACACTACAATCTGGCATTTATCTTATTCCTCTGCTTGTGCTACAGAACAGAGCTACTCAGTTTCAGATTCCAAGTCAGATAATAATGAACTTCGGGTAATTAGAAAAGACCATCATCAGTACGTGGATTGCTTCGTATTTGTAAATTGATTTAGCGGCTTTCTTACTGCAGTGTTTCTGTATATGACAGGACAGGACCCCAAATGGAAAGGAAAGTGAGATTGCTTCACCTGACACTGTTGAAGCAGTGAAAGGAAATGTAAGCCATTTTGCATATTGAGTTATTGACACAATGATAGTTGATCTGGCTTCCACTTTGTTGACTTTGATCCTCTCTACACCTTATTAGATGACTGTGGGAGAGCTTATGGAAGCTTATGAAGACTGCATTTCTAGTTTACGAAACACCCAAGCAAACCGGCGCACCTCTTCTTTGAAGAGAATCTCCCCGGCAAACTTTACAAAGCAGGTAGCATTAAGTTTCTAGTTTCTTCAAAGTAGATGGTACAATAGATGATGTTTTGCATCATTCATTAATTTGTGTGCACAGCATCCATTCATCCTTGTATTCATTCTCTTCTTGGTTAGATGCACATGTAATCTAGAACATATATGAACCTGTGATTTATGGGAAATAAATATTGTAAAGCCTGTTGCCCTTGTTTGCATGTTGGTTTGCAAACTACCTTCTAAGCACTTGAACTTGCTATATCGGTGTTGAGTTGCTGTAACCCACCTTTTTTGCTTCTTTATATATAACCCTTTAGTGCTAAAGTGAACAAGACACTCATATAATACGGATAAATTAGTAAACTGTATAATTAAACACAAACCAAGGAGAACTACATTGGATGGCCAATTGGCATGTGCGACGAATTGCTAAGAGGCAAAATACTCAATTTGGGCCCTCTCTTCTTTTAGATGTCCTTCTGACCCTTAAAATTTACAGGCACGGCTCCAGGTTCCCGAAATGGTCCTCCAGCAGATAAGGGAACTTAACCATCTTGATGTGGAGCTTTATAAATATGCGCAAAATATCTTTGCAAATCAACATAAGCGTACTTTTGGCATCATGGTAAGTCTCTTTTCAAGGCTAATAATTCCCTATGCCAAATACATATGCATGTGGCAGGATGTGTTAGACTATCTTATAGTGTGTGCTTTTTATCTTAATTGGTAAATTTACAGTCAACCATCACATTTTCAGTTTTGTCAGACTAAAAATTAGGCCGGGGAAGATAAAATGTAATTATGGTCGAAGAAAATAATTTGTGATTTTTAAGAAAATGAAGCCTTTTAAAGCGGTGTTCATGTTTAGAAATTGTTTAGATGTTTAACAGGTGGTATCCACCATCAACTTTTAAACTCTGTTATAATGGGGTTTCGGAATTGAAATAGTAATTGTTGCTGGAAATTGTTAATGGTGGTTTGGATTTAGAATATAGAAAATCTTTCTTTAGGCTGCTTGACCTCAAGTCTGTCTTGTGAATTGTCTTCAACCAAGCATCATGGTTATTCTGTCCAATGTCATATCCCGACTATTTCTCTATCATGAGAGAGTAGCTTGGGTTTATTCCACAAGTACGATAACCATTAGACATTCACTGGGAACCTCTATCTAGTCTCCTTATTAGTGCATATGTGGTTATTTTCTTTTATGCGTATTTCATGTTCCAGATTTTATATATCGCCTTGACGTGTGGTGATAGCCTTGTTCTTGAACATGTTGCCTACTTATTTTACGTAGTCTGTACATAATCATTGAACTGATCCTGTACTCTTGCCTTTTTACAAAATAGGATTTCATAATGATTGCGATGCTTTGGCCACATGGCATGTTCCCGAACATATCTGCTTCATTATTTTGTTTAGCTTTTTACGGAAAACTGAAGTTTGTATTTCTGTGTTGTCCCGTTGGGGGGAGATGCAGGAAGAAATTTAGCCTTCTTAGCACCCCAACTAATTTGATTCAACAAACTTAGTTCCATCAACTAATGCATCGAAATTGCAGGGAGTTGGGGAGGGGATGCAGAACAGCACATATGGCGCGGGCATAAAAGTCCTCTCGTTAGGCGCGACTCTTGTTTTACTTCTTTTGGCCTTCTATGTATTTGTTAACGCCCAAAGAAGAACGTCAAAGGTTAAAATATGAATGTACCTTGATAGACTGTTAAGGATCACACCGGTTTAGAAATATTGAGAAACCTGGTATTGAGAAACTGAGATGGAAAGAAGGTATCACATTTGCTTAAGTGTTCATCCTTTGTGTTTATTTTATGTGTGTTTTTTAATGTAGGTCCAATTAATTACGGTGGAGGTCTTCGTTTTTGGTCGTTTGCTATCAGTCCTAGACGAGAAAGCTAACAGCTTCATACATTTTTCATGGTGCATACAAGGACATAAATTACTATATGACAAAAACAAGCACTCCAATTTCTTTACCAAGGACAATTGACCTTCAATTTATGGTTTTTTTTTAAGAACTTAGGACGCTCAATCTTTTAACCACCAATGGCAATAACCTTTATCGCTTTCTTTTTACGCTCAAAAGACAGGAGATTGCAAAGGAGTTTCTCCTCGATTTAAATGTTTGATTTACAAAACTTTGTATTTATAATCGTTATTGTTTATATTATATATCATTGTGTCATCTTTGTAAAAAAATAAATTAAAATTAAGTTTGTTCAATCAATCACTAATAATAAATAGATAGATCTTCATAATTCTTTTATTGAATTTGTCCTTTTATTTTTGTAGAGTTTGATGACTAAATGATTTTATATTTTATTATTTTTTACAAAGATAATATCTATAGGGTGCTTTATAATATTAATGGTACCAATTATAAGCCTGAAGTTTCATGAATTGGCTACGAAGTAAATTGACGAGGAACTCTTCCTCAACTATGGATGAGTCAAGTTAATTCCCATACATTTCAAAGACAAGGGTACATTTTATATTAAAAAAATGAGAATTTTGCACAAGTACCACCTAAACTAGTAGGTGTGTGCACAATAACGACCCATACTTTTATTTTGGCAATAGATCGCCCAAATGTCATATTTGGTGCAAATCTACGAGTTGCAACCAAATTCCTTTCATAAGAGTTTGAAAATATTTGAATAATTAAGGAAATCACAAACCGATTTGCTAACCTAAAGAAAAAATTGAAAATTCATTGTAATTTTATGTTTTTTGAAAATTTTATTATTATTTGGAGGAGGGGGAAGGGTTTGAAACTATTACAATAAATGTAGGTAGGACGCATAGGTAGAAACCCAACATACTATTCACTGTAAATAAAAGACTATATTTTTGCATAATTTCACTTCAATTCTTCTACAATCTTTACCAAATTCAAACCCGAAATCAACTTCACCCTTTCTCTTCATGACTTGACTCCAACGCGGCTAAAAAAATGTCGTTTGCCTTCGTATAAATTGACTCGAGTGAGCCATAGGAAGTGAATTGACAAAAATACACCCCCCCCCCATGTGAAGGACATGTGATATATTATAACGGAAAAATAGATGGAAAGCCACGTAGGTGTGGTAGATTCCAATAGTTAAGAGAGTGTAGGTGGTAAAAATAAAAAATTGAAAGGGTAGGTAATATTAACACACATACTTACAAGTTCAGGTGGTACTTGTGCAAAACCTCATGTAGATATTTAGGGTTCCTAGACTCTAGTCACCTAAGGGTTAGGTAAGTGTGTTTTTTCCTTTCCAAATTAAGGGTTAGGTAAGTTTATAATGTTGATATTTTCAGAGTCAAATAGGTAAGTTTCTTCCTTTTAATATTCTTAGGTTATTAGGGTTTATATTTTCTATTTCAACAGACTCATAAAACTCTAGCGCGCTTTAACATATTAATAACAAAAGTCCGAGTGTATTCCCTTTTTCGATGGAGTCCGGCATGCTAGCAGTGTGCTCTAGTTTATTTTGGATCTAGCACACTAGTCTAACCCGTTTCATGTTTTTGCTGCATCACTCGAAAAAGACGTTTTCTTGATTTTTTTGGTTTGTTTGGGAATTAGGGTTTAGGGTTGCATGAACCCTAAAGTCGAATTCGTTTGTTGAGGATTCAAAGGCCTTGGCAGCATGAGAAGGGGTGGATCTTGCTGGTTGCCGAGGTTGGTTCTATATATTGAGGTGGCGGTGCTAAATCGGGTGATGACTCTTCTCCAGCGTTGCCTACAGAAGAAGCTTGCGCACATGTACAAAGAGGAGAATTCCAAAGCTGCGTTCGTTTAGTTGTTTGAAGAGATCTCCCTGAGTTATCCTAGACATTCTTTTAGCTAAAAATATTGGCCGGAGTCCGGCAGTTTACTCCCCGTTGTTCTGCTATCGCTTAATCGAAATTCTGAAATCGCGATATAATTAATCAAACAGCACGACTTAGGGTTGGCTATAGTTAGTATCAACACCAACTCGAAACCAACAGCGAACACCATCGCCAACGTTAATTAAATGCGTATTAGAGCATTTATTTTTTCAGTTAGAGTCATGTTTCTGTTTTTTGTTTTTTTTTCTTCTCTCTTTTTTTTTTTTGGCCAAACGAAAGAAATAATTTAGAATCATGCTGCGGGTAACATTCAATGCACAAGGATTTCACCCAATAAATACTGTTTCCTTCTATTGTAATATGCCACCCAGAGAAATAAAGGTAAGAATCCAACCCATGAGATAATTTTCCTTAATTGACAATTCTTGTTCTTATCTCCCTATTTAGTTTTGTTATATATTGTGAACAATGTAATAAGCAATGCATCATTTCTATTAGGCTTTGATCCCCACCATGAAAAATTTCTCGCGTAAAAGAGTTAGCAATTCAGTGAGTTTGCTATTCTTTGTGTCCGCAATAATCCAAGGATTTTTGATATTTTATATAGGCCTTGACAGCAAGTACTCCGGTTTTCACGTGGAATTCCTATGATAATTGAATGAAGGCTGTGATACTTAAATGATGTGTCACATATGCGAATTTCTTTCTCCTATCAAATTATGGGATTTGTTGCTCATGAAAATGATTGTTTTTCTCTCTTCTTTTTTTTTTTTGCTTCAGAATGGAGATTCGCTTGCGATCGGGATTCCCTGCGTCTTGAATCGCCTGGTGTACAATACGTGTGTTTTAATATTCCAACATATACTGCTTTCGATTTTTCAACAAGCTACTTACTGTGCACCTTATGTTTGTAGGCTTCCACCGACGATCCAGATGCTTGGCGGACTGTTACTCTTACGGATGTCAATGATTCCCATACTACGACAACAGTAAGGAGGAGACCGAGGAGGAGGCAGCGGTGGCGGCCAAGCAACGGGAAGATGATGATCATGTTTGGTCTGTCTTCGGCCATGATGATAAGAAAACTTACGAGCTTCAAAAAAAAACAAAGCGCCCTTCAGCTCTTTAAGTCCTTTTTTTTTTTAATGACAATGCCTCTCCTTGTTGCCAAGTTTAATTGTTGCTCTTTGTACTTTGAGTTGATGAGTGCTTTTTTCGTTTCCTTAACAAAGGAGAAAACACAGATTTTTCAAGTAATACCACAGTTGTTTGTGAAGTGAATGAGCTAGTACGTTGTATGATCGTATTCACTCATCTTATAACACGCGAACTAATTATATCATGTATTATTTCAATTTTACACAAATTTCGAGGCATAATTTCAGGTTGAAGCATAAAATCAACACCAATTTAACCCTATATTAAAGAATTTACCAAATGAGAAAAATTACAACAAATTCCAAACATCAATAAAATCCAATCATAAAATCACATAATGCACAAAATTAAATGCAGAACTTAAAAAGTCGGCTTCATTATCAACTCGAGAAATGCTAAGGGGACTCTCTCAAAGTGGGACTCTCCATAGACTCTCTGCTACCACAGTTTAACGTCAATTCACGTGCCAATGTTATAAAACATTGTGTCAAAAACATGAGGTGGTAGAGAGTCCATGGAGAGTCTCAACTAGCCTCGTTCTAGTCATTTTCTTTTAATACATGATTCGCATGTATTAGTTAACAAATACTTTCACACCGTTGGTTGCTACTATTCATTTCATACTCAATTGCCAGTGTCGTAAAGATATGGTGAATATCTATAGATATACCATTGGAAACCACAAGATGTTCTTGTGGGTTTGGTCGACTCACCAGGACGATGCCTTAGTAACCAACTAAGTGTCATTTTAAGATCTTGCATGATGAAGTACCATACTTGGAAGATATATTTTTTATTATTAGAAACTGAGTACATATTATCGACTCTTATTTCCTTACATAAATATAACCTTTTTTTCCCAATAATGACAACACCATTCATGAAATTTGTCTCAAAATTTTTCTTTTCTAAGACAGAAACAGAGACAAGATTCCTCCTAATGTTTGCTTTCTTTTCTAGGACAGAAACAAAGACAAGATTCCTCCTAATGTTTGGTGCAAATAGAAGATTTTTAAGTACAATGGTAGACTTACTATTGTTGATCTTCCAATCTCCTTCACCTAAAATATTGACATAAGTATTATTGCCTTAAGTCTATCCTAGTGCTCTCCTAGTGGTTTCTCCTTAAAGTTGATGAAGAAACTTTTGTCCTTACATATGTGTTGGGTTTGCTCCTAAGTCTATCCACCATTGTCCTTGACTTTAGCAATGAGTGCTTCGAAGACAATCAATATCATCTATTTAAGAATTTTGTTGTTCTTGTGTCGTTTGGGGCACTTGAACCTATAGTGACCCATCTCTCCATAGTTGAAGCATGCAGTACTCTACTTCACTTTGAACTTGTTCTGCTCGCGCTTTCCCACTTTTTTAAGTTTTGGCGCTTGTTGCTATGTGGCTTGCGCATGTGTAGCTTGTTTTTTTTTTGAAAATCTTCTGCATAAGGAGGTTAACTTTGCCTTATCCAATTTCCTTTTTCTTATGATTCTTATGAATCTCTTCGATAGCCAACTTTGCAGGCAATGATCCATTGTTAATGCCGCTTGACCATAAGTCATGGAAGTTGGATGACTTGAATTGATTAAGTCTTTTTCCATTAATTTTCCTTAATTATCAAGGATATGACTGTTAGATATAACTGAATAGTTGTATTCAACAAGAGAAGTTGTAACTCCCTCTGAAGAATACAACTCCTCTAGAAAGAGTATTTCATCGCTATATATTCACCAAATTCCTTTCTTGTCAGAGCATTCAATTCCAACTTGATAATTGTTCACACTCTCTTATTCATATCCTCATACCATATATATGGTGATCGA